CTCCCTCTCACTCGCACCAGGGGCCCTCAGTCCTGCTGTGGCTCCCAGAGCTGGCCTGAGCTCTCCTGGCCGCCCTGCCCTGCTCCTGGTGGGCAGCCCCCAGGTTTGGGACATGGATTCTGCCCAGGGAATCGCAGTCCCTTGCTGGTCTGAGCAGAGCCTCTTCTGTCTAGGGCCCAGGTGTGGCCAGAGGGCTGGACCTGGCCGGCCTGCAGCCCACAGGCCAGTAGGAGCTGCCCGGTGTCTCGGCTTCCAGCCTTCTCCCCGGGTCTGGGAGGAGTGACCGCGGGAAGCCGGTCCCCGTCTCTGCTAACATCATGGCTAACACCATGTCGTCCTGGGTCTGGCCTCTCTCACTCCACTTTATTGGTTTGGGGTGATTTTTCTTAGATTCTATGGTTAGATTTCCAGCCCTGTCCCCTTCCCCGTCCCCGCCCCAGGGAAGCAAGGTCCCCTGCACCCAGGCCAGGCAACTCCCTGACCACGGCCCCCAGAAGGGAGCAAAGGGAGCGGCCACGGGCGTGGGGCCAGCAGGGAGCAGGCAGGCCCCGTCTCACGGCTGGTGGAGGGTCCTCCTCAGAACTTCTGCAGGAGGCTGGCTCGGACCCAGGCCGCGTCGGGTGAACAGCGGTTGGTGTCCCGCTGGTGACACGGCAGCTGCCGGGAGATGGCGAGGGTTTCCAGCCTCTTGGTTTTGGCTGATGGGCGGCTGTGTAACGAGTTTGCCTGAAACTTAGCAGCTGAAACCCACCGCAGATGAGCCTTCCCCTCCAGCTCTGAGAACTCGGGAGGCCTGGCCAGGGGCCCTGGCTCCTGGGCTCCACCGAAGCTGCTGGCAGGCTGTGGCTGAGCTGGAATCTGTGAACAGCAGCTGGGCATCTGTCCCTCCTGGCCGCAGTGGGTCCTGGCTGCTGGTCCCACCCTTGTGGCGGGGCTTGATGTGGCCAGAGGGCTTTGGCCTGGCCTGGACGCAGACACTCTCCCTTCTTGGGGCCAGGGCAGGGCTGGAAATTCAACAGGATCAGAGAAAAGCCCAAACCAACAAAAGGGAGAGAGAGAAGCCAGACACAAAAGAGGGGCCTGCTGGGCCTCGCTTAGCTCTGGGGGAGAAGTCGGGACAGCGGGAGCTCTGGGGGCTGGGCTTGGGGGTGCTCCCTCCCCACCCCCACACGTGGGGGCCTCGCCCTGTGCTCCTTGCTCTGTGACAGTGTGTCCCCGCGACAGAACGGAACCACAAAACAATAAAATCTCAGCGTTTCCGGGTGTGGAAAATGGGCCTGGGCCTTCCCGTCCCAGCCCCGACGGGGAGACGGCAGGTCTGCAGACTTTCTTTTTAACTTTTTTTTTTTTCCTCTGACAACTTCCCCTTCAGCACAGGCGAGGACCAGCCTTCGGGTGAGTAGGTCCCCACACAGCAGCCCTTTCCCATCTGATGTGAATCAGCTCCTCCCCATGAGCTTCCCAGCGCTCAGCAGCGGGGGCTCAGCCTGTGGCTGTGCCTTGTGACGGGGCAGGTCACCGAGGGGTCCTTCGACCCCCTTCACTCCTCCACCCCTTGGTTGGTTGCTCTGGGTAACTGCCCCCCACCCACCCATCGTTCATCCTCCTTCCATCCATCCACCCACCCACCCATCACCCAACCCCACGGGCACCCACCCACGTATCCACCACTCACCGACCCACCAAGCACAAAGGACATGAGTCTGAGGACAGGGGACACCTGAACTGGAGCCAGGGTCTGAGCCCTCTGGTGCCCAGACCCCAAAGAAAGCATTGGGCTGCCGAGGGCGCTGGCCTCCCCACAGGCGCAGACACTCGGGAGGAGGTGACATCCTCTCTCTGCCAGGGAGGAGACTCGTGTGCCTGGTGCCAGCACCCATGGCTGCCTTAGGGACCTGTAGGGTGGGACACAGGAGCAGGGTCCAGGTTGCAGTCAGGTGGTCAAGGAGCCCACTGTGGAGGACCCCATTCACTGAGTCCTGCAGCTGTCCCCAGGCCAGGTGCACACCTGCCACCCCCTTTACCTTCTGCCACCCCTTCTGCAGTGACCCCACCTCGTAGGCCTCACCGGCCAGCCGTAGGGCACAGACAGGGAAACTGAGACGCAGGGGTGGGGCCGCTCTCTGGGGACAACAGCCAGGGAGCCGTGGCCCAGACCCGGGTCTTGCATTTAAGAACTCTGAGATCAATCTGCCACTCGGTCTGGGCTGGTTTCTGGGAAAACATTTGCGGCTTCTTGGAAGATGGCCGCGTGGTAACGAGCTGTCTGTCGTCCGTCTGCAGAGGACGTCCTTGATGAACTCCTTAAGATGGCTCCAGAGAAGGTGCGCGCTGTGGAGGAGGTAGGAGCCACCAAGGCCGCGGCCCTGCCCCCGCCGGCCTACCACCCGCGGAATCTCGGGGCGGAGGGTGGACGCAGGCCTGGCCTCCATTCCTGCTGGGCGCCAGGCGCTGGGGGGCTTTCTGTCACCCCAGCGGGAAGGTGGCAAACCCGGGTGTGGCCCTTGCTGTTCCTCGCAGGCCATCGTGAGCTTCGTCAACCACTCGCTGCGGAGCCTGGGCCTGGCCGTGCAGAGCCTCAATTCCCAGGTGGGCACCCGGAGCGCCCCGAGCAGGGAAGGCCGGGGTCCGGTGGGCTCCTCAGGCCCAGGAGCTCACTGTGTCCTCAGTGTTCCTGGAGCACAGGGGACAGAGGAGCAGAAAAGCTGGTCCCCAGCCCCTGGCCTTCAGGATGGCCCTGGAGCCTGCTGGACTCCAGTGGCAACGGGCCCCGGTGTGTGGGCTCGGGCCACCTGGGCTCTGCTGGTGACAGAGGCAGGTGGAGAGAGGTCTGGTCTTCGGTGCACCACACCTGTGAGGACCGTAGCCAGAGCACGAGGGTCACAGGTGCACTCTGGTGGACATTAGCCAGGGAGGGGAGGGGCCCCAGCCCAGGACACCCGCCACGTGCCCGCCCGCGTCAGTTGCCCTCAGCATGAACTGTGCGAGCCCCCGGGACCTCTCAGCTGGGAACTGATGACACCTCACCCTGCAGAGGACCCTTGAGGCACAGTGAGGCTACGTGACTCCTCCAAGGCCACACGGGTTAAGTAGCCTGGGGACCTGACACGGCAGCTCAGTGCTCAGGTTGGGCTCAGGGCCACGCCACATGGTGGCCACATGAGGTTTGCGCATGGCGTGGTGATGTATAGGGTGGAAATACCAGGCTTCGAAGCCAGAAGGACCTGTATTCCCAAACTGCCTGCCACCCATGCTCCTCGGGCCCCGAGCACACCTCCACGTTAGCTGTGTGACCTTGAGTTAGTTACTGGACCGCTCTGAACCTGAGGCTCCTCTTCTTATAAAGGTGCAGGACACTGACCTCATAGACGCCACATGTGAGCTGGTGAGCTTCGGTGCTTAGCAGGTTTCCTGGTGCACTGTGGATAAATGAGTCCTGTGAGGATTTATCATATCTATGGGTGTGAGCAGGATGATCTCTTAGGTTTACATTTTACCTGTTCCATCCCTATTTCTTCCTTGGTAAAACAGTGGTGTTTGGAAAATTACGGCCTGTACAGGTGGCCTCGAGAGACTGCTGCATACAGTGGGTGCCAAGTCCCGGCATTCCCCCTGCACAGCCAGGGGCAGTCATAGGAAAGATTCAGGCCCAGTTAACGACATCAGAACCGACTTGATGGGAGGAAATTCCATTACTGACGAGAGCGGAGGTTTTTCCTCCAGGATCTGATCTAGCGTTCTGTGTCTTTGAAGAGATTTGTGGGTTGTATTAGCATATGACAAGCTGGTGGCAGCAAGGACAGCTTTATCTCTGAACGTACAGAGGGAATGAACAGGGATACACGTGTGGCAGCCAGCAAGCGGGGCCCAGTGTGCCCTTCCTGACTTTCCTACTGGAATAATTCTACCCTCAACTGTTCTCCCTGGTGATTCTGAAGTTCCTGAATCTGTTATTTAAAAACTGACCTGAGGCTATTTCATAGCCAATTTAAAAGTTGTTCCTTTTATTGAGCATGTACTATGTATCAGGCAGCCCAGAATGACTTTATACAGCTTTAACCCTGCGCAGTTGGGAATGTCTTCCCCATCTCTCAAGAAGATCTTGAGGCTCAGAGAGGTTGGGCAAATTCCTCAGGGCCACACAGCCTATTAAAGACACGGGGGCTTCCCCCTGACGTCATGTGTCCCACACAGGCCTCCAGCTCTTCCTTTATAGTTTGCAGACGGAGTCATCCTGCTCCTGCTGATTGGACAACTGGAAGGCTTCTTCCTGCACCTAAAGGAGTTCTACCTCACCCCGAGCTCTCCTGCAGAAATGGTGAGCCTTCCAGAGGTTCGTCAGGGGTCAGCCTCTGGGTGGACAGGTCTGCCGCACTGGCCCACCAGCCTGTGCCTGTCCACCTCCAGGAGAAGCAAAGGACGAAGGGGAATTCTGTCCATAGGTCAGCCCGGTCCCCCCCCCCACCCATCTACCCACCCACCCACTGTCCACTCACCCACCCACCATCCATCTACCCACCCACCCACCTGTCCACTCACCCCCCACCCATCTACCCACCTACCCACCTGTCCACTCACCCACCCACTGTCCACTCACCCACCCTCCCACCATCGTTTCCCACCACCCATCAGCCCACCTACCCCTCTGTCCACCCACCATCCACCCACCCATCACCCCCGTCTGCCTGTCTTGCCGCCTGTCCATTCAGCTATCCCCCAGCCCCCCACCCTGTGCTTCCGTCCACTCCTGCCCACCCACGCAGCCTCTCCTCTCAGCCCCACTCGGCCCCTCCTGCCCCGGGGCCCTGCGCTGGGGGCAGGACACAGCCCAACACGGCCCCGGCCCTCAAGGACCCACATAGTCCACACCCAGGGTGTCCCCCAGGATCACGGTCCCCAGGGCCACCATGGAGTGTGGGGTTGGTGGCACCGGCAGCAGCGAGGGCCTGAAGGGGGGTCAGCGTGGTGTGTCGGGGCGGGAGAGGCGGGGTCCAGGGGCGCAGGAAGCTCCTTAGGGCCGGCTTGCTGCAGCCCAGGCTGGGGTGACAGGAGGGGGACATTCCAGTTCCCTCCGGGAGGGCTGTGTGCAGGGCCCAGGTGGCCTGGGAGGGACTCTGTCTTAGTCCTTAGTCCAGGTTGGGGGGCAGCCCAGGGCCTGTGCTCTGCAGCCGCCGGCCGTGGGCCCCGTGGGCGCCTAAGCTCCGCCATCCTTTCCGGTGGCCAGGGGCCGTGCTTTCCTCTGCAAAGGCAGAGACGAGGCCAGCTGAGCCAGCCTTTGGCCTCAGGGGACGCGGGCTCCCTGCAGGTGTGTCCCACGCAGGCTCTGCGGTGGGCTCGCTGCGGTGGGCACCCTCTCCACGGTGGACTCTGGTTAGGGACGATTCCCACCTCTGCCCCAGGGGAGGAAACCAGGGTCATGGAGGGGCAGTGGCCTGGCCAAGGCACCCAGACCTTGGGGACGGAGGCTGAGCTGCCATCTGAGCTGCCGTCTCCACAGCCCAAGCTGCTTCTCCGGGTCTTTCCTGGGGACAGGGACTCGGAGGGCCCAGGGGGTTGCCGGTCCCACGTCTGGAAGACAGGACGTTGAAGTGTGGACAAGGAGGGGACAGCTGAGGGGGAGAGGGCGGGACTCCTGCAGCTGAGGAGCCCTCGGGAAGGGACTCTGGACAGCACTGGCTCCTGTCCTGTCCCTGGGGCTGAGGTTCTGGGGACGGCAGGTGCCCTGTGCCAGGGTGTTGCAGGCCCCAAACCCCAGTTACCCAGGAGGGCCACGTCCAGCCTCCCGTGCACAGCCACCTGGCCAGACCCCCGGCCTCAGAACCAGCCAGGACGTGGGGACATGTGGCAGCCTCTTAGCCCAGACCCCAGGGACGATTCCTCCGGGCACAGCCAGGAAGCCTCAGCTGCAGGACCGAGTGCCGCAAAGGCCGGAGTCCCCATCTGGAGACATGGTGACAGCGTCCCTTCTGGAATGTGGGACACCTGGGGGATTGTGATCTCGGCCGAGTGGCCCTCAAGATTGGAGTTTTCATTATCACAACCTTCGTGCCCACGGTGTCTGTGAGATCGTCACTCAGTGCAGGAATAGAAGCTGGGGACGGAGGGACAGAGGTGACCATTTGCTCTACAGAAATCAAGGCCCGGGAGCCAGGAGTCTGGGGCCCCTCCCAATTATCTCTCCCTGGGAGACCTGACTGCGCCCCCCTGTCCCGAAGGCCCTCGGCCCGTGGCACAGCAGGGTTCTACCGTCTCCATCTCAAACTGTGCACAGAGGGGGGGGGGGGCGGGGGGGGCCTGGGGGCCATTCCGGGGCCCGGGTCATCTCCTCCAGGAGACGCGTTTTGCTTCAGAATGAGCATTATGGAGGGAGAATGTGACCAGGAAGCAAATGTGATCATTTTTAATGTCACCACTACTGAAGGGATGGTCAGCGGGGTGTGAAGGGGCGGGAGAGGCCGTGTCCTCCCAAGCCTAAGCCCCAGGAGGATCAGGAGCTGGCCTGTTTCCAGCCCCAGTTGCACGGCCAGCTCATAGTCGATGCTCAACAAATATTTTAAAAATAAGTGAATCGAGCAAAGTTTCCAAACCGTGAATCCCACGATGTGCTTGTGACGAGTGCGTTCTGTGATCGATCGGGTAACCTGGGGACGTAATCTTGAAGCTTCATGATACACATTAGCCTTCAAGGCTCTGAGAAGTCCTGCAGGAAGGACTTCGTTTTTTTTAAACTCGGGGGCACTCTACCACTGAGCTACCCCAGCCCTTTTTAAAAATTTACTCTCTTTAGTCCACATGACATAGAGTGTATTTTGACGTACCTTACGCACATGGAGTCTAACTTCCCGTTCTTGTGGTAGAACATGATGTGGAGTTTCTCTGGTCGTGTCTTCACATACGAACATAGAACTAAGTTATGTCCTGTTCATTCTACTGTCTCTCCTATCGCCCTCCTCCCTCCCTTGCATTCATTCCTCTTTGTCTAATCCAGTGAATTTCTATCCCTGCCCCCTTATTGTGAGTCAGCATCTGCATATCAGAGAGAACATTTGCCTTTAGTTTTTTGGGACTGGCTTATTTCACTTAGCATGGTAGTCTCCAGTTCCGTCCACTCACCAGCAAGTGCCACAAGTTCATTCTCCTTTATGGCTGAGTACTGTTCCATTGTGTATATGGACAATTTATCCCTCCACTCATCTGTTGAAGGGCACCTAGGTTGGTTCCATAGCTTGGCTATTAGGAATCTAGCTGCTGTAAACATCCATGTGGCTGCGTCCCTGTACTATGCTGATTTTAAGTATAGACCAAGGAGTAGGATAGCTCCTTGGTACATGCCAAGTTTTCCGAGGACTCTCCATCCTGCTTTCCATAGTGGCTGCACCAATTTGCAGTCCCACCAGCAAAGTGTGAGTGTCCCTTTTCCCCTACATCCCTGCCAACACTTACTGTTACTTGTGTTCTTGATGGTTTTGCCATTCTCAGTCGAGTGAGATGGAATCTCGGTGTGGTTTTGATCTCGTTTCTCTAATTGCTAGAGGAGTTGGACGTTTTCCACGGACTTGTTGAGCGATTGCATCTCTTCTTCTGTGCGGTGTCTGTTCCTTCCTTAGCCCGTTTATTGATGGGGTTATTTGGGGTTTTGGTGTTGGGTTTCTTGAGTTCCTTGTGTACCCTGGGAACAGTGCGCTCTCTGAGGTGCGCGTGGCCAGGCTTTTCTCCAGTCCTGGGGGCTCTCTCCTTGACCTTGGCGGCTCCCTTGGCCGTGAAGAAGCCTGGAACCCATCCCATTTGTTGATTCTCGATTTTACTTCTTGCACTTTAGGGGTCTTGTTGAGGAGCTCAGATCCTAAGCTGCCGTGGTGAGGACTCGGGCGCAGGGTCTCTGTTCTAGTGCCTGGGTCCTTGATCCACTTTGTGTTGAGTTTTGTGCAGGAGGAGAGGGGTTTGATTTCATTTGGGTACATATGGATTTCCAGTTTTCCCAGCACCATTTGAAGAGGCCATCTTTTCTCCAACGTCTGTTTATGGCGCCTTTGTCTAGCTCGAGGAAACTTTCTGTCCTTATCGCAGCCCTTTTTATTTTGAGGCAGGATCTTGCTAAGTTCCGAGGCTGGCCTCAGACTTGAGACCTCCTTTCTCAGCCTCCTGAGTCTCTGGCATTACAGCCATGTGCCACTGAACATCCTTTTGTTCAACCCAATAATTTCCAAAACAATTTGGCTGCAGATACATCGTGAATCCTGTTTCCGGGAGATGCCGGCTCATCAGGTAGATCAGAGGCAGGACTTCCGGGGGGAGAGCAGGTCCTTTACTCTCTGTGCAGCCTGTGAATAAGGTTCAGGGGCAGAGTAGACAAGAGGGACCGTGGAAGCCTCGCTTCCCAGCCTAAGGGAGACCTGGGCCAGTGACCAGGACAAGTGACAGAGCTGGGGGGACACTCAGACCTCTGCTCCGTGCCCTGCCTGGGGCCCTGCTCTGTGGGATGGCCTCGTGTCCTCTTGACCAGCCGAGGAGAGGACAGCCTGTCCACCTGGCCACGCTCCTGTCACGTCCTGGACTCGCCCGTCTCAGCTGCTCGGCCCCTTTGCTGCTTGACGGTGGCCCTCGCGGGCGGAGCAGGGCTGGCTGGCGCTCCTGCCGCGGGGCTGTCACCGGCCTCCAGCCTGGCTGTGCCCGATCTGCCTCCATCTCCCTCCATCCCCACAGCCGCCTGGACAGACAGACGCGCTACCCCCACCGCAAGGAACCCAAGGCCCCCCCAGGACGTGGGACTTGTCCCAGGCCACACACTTGGGAGGGGGACAAACATCTAAGCCAGGTCCCAGCTGTCCACCAGGGGGTGACCGGGAGCGGCCTGGGCAGGCTGGTGCCCCGGGTGAGCCTCGTGGGGCCTTGTTCACCTGGGACTCGGCCACCCTGGCCTCCTGGCCTCCTGGCCCCCACGGGATTGCCACAGGAACTGGCTGGTCTGGGGCTGTGGTGGGGCAGGATGGCCCGGTCAGTGGGAAGGGGATGGCACCAGGCCCGGCTGGGCAGAAACAGCATGTCCAGCCCCCGCAGTGGACCTGCAGGCAGCAGCGCCCTTCTGCTTTCCCTGGCCGGGTCCCCTCACCCGGCCGACTCACCTGCAGGAGTCACCTCCCCCCGAAGCCGCCCGACCCCCACGGCTGCTCGGGGTCCTCCTGCCCTGGAGGCCTTGCTCGGGGGTGTGGTGTGGCACCCACCCCCAGCTGGCCTGCGGGGGGCTGGGGACTGAGCTCTGGGCCTGCGGGAGCACCCTTGACCCCAGTTCTCAGGGACTCGGCCCTGGGGTGGACGAGAAGGACGCTGGGTGACGGCGGGCCTGGAGCTGCCCCAGGGCAGCTGACGTCTGAGGGGCCTTCTTGTCCTAGGTGCACAATGTCACCCTGGCCCTGGAGCTGCTGAGGGACGCGGGCCTGCTCAGCCACCCCGTCAGCCCTGAAGGTGAGCATGCTGGGCCTCCTTCCCCAGGGTCCAGCCTTAGGGAGCAGCCCCAGAGGGGACACAGGACGGGGGACGAGCCGTGCTGGGTGAGGGATCCTGCAGGGTTTCCCAGGAGGTCTCTGTGGCCACCGCTTCTGTCCGTCCTGGTGGAGGGGTCCCAGGCGGGCAGGGGCCTCCGTCCCTGGGGACAGGCTGTCCTGGAGAAGGCAGATCCCGAGGGTGCTGTGCTGGAGGGACAAGGTGGGAGAAGGGAGGCCTGGGCAGCAGGAGGACCCGTGTCACAGGATGGGACCTGGCCCTCAGGCCTCCTGGTTTCTGCAGCCTTAGTGCCGACGACTGGGCCCCTAGGAGCCCGGGTCGGGGTCACCCTGCCCCCTGGGCTGACCAGCTGCCTGCCCCTCTGGCCTGCAGACATTGTGAACAAGGACCCCAAGAGCACGCTGCGGGTGCTCTACAGCCTGTTCTGCAAGCACAAGCTCAAGGCCAGCGCAGACGGGACCCCCTGTGGCACCCTGCACTAGCCGTCACCTGGCCCCAGCGCGGTGCTTGACAACCCGCCATCTGGACTCTGCTGGAGGGTCCGGCCGAGGGACCCCCTCAGCCCAGCAAGTTCCTGTCTGAGCCACCCCACTGCCGTCTGCGCCACATGAACAGCCTGAGCCCACCAGGTGGGGTCCCTTGAGGCCAACCCCTGCCTGGCTCAGGGATTCTAACTACAGTGTTCCTGGGGCTTCAGAGCCGGGGGGTCCTGGGCAGCAGGAACCCAGCAATGCCCTCTGCTCTCGGGGGTCAGGACCGACAGCCGAGGTCCGAGGCTCTGCACATTCTGCTGCCCGTCTGCCCCCACTCGGGGTGACAGCCCAGGACACCCCCCGCCAGGGGCAGGAGTTGTGGCTCCAAAGACAACGAGCCTGTTGCTCCGGAAGCCGCCTCGGTGCATGCCCAAGAATCCAGGCCGCGACACCCCTACAGCCGTGGCTGTGGTTTTGCCCAAAAGTCACGCAGCAGACATTCCCATGGTTCAGCTCCCGTCTGTCCCCAGGGAGCGTCCTCCTCAAAGGGTGAGAAACTCAGAGGAGAGCTGGGCACAGCTGTCCCCTCCAGGACCGGCTTTAGAGGCCCCGGAGCTGCCCTCGGGTGGGAGCAGCTGGCTCCTCCCCACGCTCCCCGCCCCGGCCGAGCCCCCCTGGAGACAGAAGCTTCCAGGACACAGGTGAATGGCGTTGCTCTGGGGAGGGCTGTGGAGCAGGGGCTGGCTGGGCCAGGCCCCCCACCCATCAGCTGGGGGCTCAGGAGGACGTCCTGCAGGAGGTGACGTGGGAGCTGGGAATGGGGAGGGGGCCCGGGGGCTCACGGCCCCGTCCGATGACCCCTCTTCATCTCTCCACATCCTGCTGCCTCTGGAACATGTCCCTCTCCTATTCCAGGAGTGTCCCCCTCTGAGGAGCCAGGCTAGGTCCCCTCCATGAGAGGCTCCCCTCCTGGAACCCCTGATGCCTCTCACCCCGTCTACACCAGGCTTCATGGGTGAATGCCCCAAATCCACGCCCCGTCCTGGGTCCAGGCCTCATGTCCAGCAGGCTGGCTCCACGTGGCCACTCCAAGTCTTCACCTGACTCTGCTGGACAGCAGATTTTTAAGATAATTATTAAAAATTGATTTTTTCAGCCAGGCCTGATGATGTAATCCCAGCTCCTCAGGAGGCTGAGGCAGAAGGATCCAAAGTTGAAGGCCAGCTGTGGCCATGCAGTGAGACCCTGCCTCAGAACCTGGTGGAAAGGGAGGAGCGTTGGCCTGGCACGTGCCGAGCCCTGGGTTCCATCCCCAGCACCACACACACACGAAAATCAAGTCTTTGTAGCTTCACTAAGGGACCCACAGTTGGTAAAATCTCCCAATGGAACCACCCAGTCTGATGAGTCTCCACGAAAGCATAGAGTCACGTAACCCCAGGAAGATGGAGGCAGGAACAGTCCCACCACCCACAAGAGCCCTCGAGCCAGCCCCTTCCCCGAGTCCTGGCCCTGGAAACTGCCAATCTGCCTTCTGTCCCCATCGATTTACCTTTTCTAGAATTTAAATATAAATGCACCAGAGAGGGTGTAGGCTTTTGTGGATGGTTTCTTTTCCTTTGCACAAATCTGCTGGGTTTTTATGCAAAGTTTCTTTTATCAATAAACGCATCGCCTTTTCTTGCTGAAAACACTGCCGTGCGGATATGTTATCTATTTCATGATATATTATTTTTGCTTTAAAAAGTCAATGTCTTTAAAAGAGATTTTTAAAAACTGAGAAGGAAGCCTGGCATTTACCCACGGAGTTACCATGACTGTGGCCTTTTGTTTTTCTCTGCATCTGATAAAATTTTCCTCCTGCTGAGGATTTCTGCCTTAGTTCATTTTCTGTCACTGTAACAGAAGACCCGGGACTGGGTGATTGGTAAAGAGGAGAGACCTATTTCTTATGGTCTGGAGTCTGGGAAGCCCAAGGTGAAGGGGATTCTGTCTGGCAAGGGGGCTTTTTGTTGCTTCATGACATGGTGAAAGGCAGAAGGGAAAAGTAGCCGGGTACGAGAAAGACAGGGAATTTGCAGCCTCAATCCCCTTTACCCTCTGGGAGGATAATCCAGAGGATAAATCCCTTATGAGGGTGGGGCACTTGTGACCTGGACCCCACCCCACAGTGTTTCATAGGAATTTAGGGGCCCCACCTCCCTTTGCCACTTCCTGTAGTGCGTCTGCTGTTCCTGAACTCTGGTTCCTGCAGAAGTAGATTCAGTTGTAACAGATAATATCTCTGGGTATAAAATTCTAGGTGGGCACTTTTTTCTTTCGACACCTTGACAATGTGGACGCTGCTCCTGTGTCGTCCGACTGGCATAGTTTTCAGGAAGAAGTCGGCCGTCACTCTCCTCTGTCTTTTTTCTATGGCTGCTTTTGTGATTTTCTTTTTGTCGCTGGTTTTCAGCAGTGTGGTCGTGTGTCTGGGGTGAGGTTGTTTGTGTTCCTTATGTTCTGGGTTTGCCCTGGAGTCAGTGAGTTTATGGTTTTTCCTAAAATTTGAGAAGAGACTGGCCACTACTTCTCCTGTCTCGATCTTCTCCTCCTTGGGCTCCAAGTACAGATTTGTTAGTTAGCTTGATACTGTCCCACAAATCATGAATGCTGCCTCCTTCTCCTCCTCCTCCTCCTCCTCCTCCTTCTCTTTGTGGTGCTGGGGATCAATCCTGGAGCCTCACACTTGCTAGGCACGCTCCCCACCACACCCCAGGCCTGTCTTCTTTTTACTTCCCGTCTTTTCTCTCTCTGGGTTTTATTTTGGGTGGTCTCTATTGCTGTGTTTCCATTTTTTTTTTTTTTGGTTTTTTGTTTTTCTTTTCTTTCTTTCTTTCCTTTTTTTTGTGGCACGTACTCTGATTTAATTCCATCCATTATATTTTGCATTTCATAAATTGTGTTTTGTCCTCTTGAGAAATAAAATTGGGGTCCTTAAAACACCTTCCACTCCTCATCCCTCTCATAAGTCCGTCCACCTCTGAGCACATGTGAGGTCTATTTATAATCACGGTTAAAATCCTTGTCTACTAATTCTGTCATCTGTGTTGTTTCTGGATTTCTTTCTCTTGATTGATTCTTCTCCTGGCCATGATTCATCTTTCCCTAATGCTTTGCAAGTCTGGTAATTTTTAGCTGGATGCTGGACATTGGGAAAGTTTACACGTCGAGCCTTGGATTTCTTTTTAAATATTTCTCTCCGTGTGTTCTGGGTGCAGTTAGGTCGTCTGGAATCAGTCAGATCCTCTTGAGGCTGGCCTTTACGCTGCGTCAGGGTGAATGCAGAACAGACCTGAGTCTAGGACTTCTTTGGTCCCAGAGGCAATACTTACCTGCACCTCTTCCGAGTCCCATGTGCTAGAAGGTCTCTTCCCTCTGGTGGTGGAATCACACGTAAGCGCTGCCTGAGCTTGGGGATCATTTTGCTCACTCACTCCTTTCCTGTGAGTACCACATGCTGGGAAAGTTTTCCATGTGCAGATCGCACCTGGCCAAAGACTCAGGGGAACTTCTGCCGGTCTCTGGGCTTCTCTCTCCAGAGCCTGGTCTCTAATCTCTGCCCCTTGGACAGAGTTCCTTGGCTCCCACACTCCAGTTCACCTCGACTCTGGGCTGCTCAGCTCCGTGCAGCAACTGGGCTTCTCCCAGGCAGTGAGTGGACGGGGCAGCTCATTCCTTCACCTCTTGGGGGTGGCCCTCCTGCTCTGCCTATTGTCCAGCACCTGAGACCCCTGCTCAGGGACATTCTGACTCCCAGTGGGGAGGTGGATCCAGCCCTGTTGTTCCATCTTGGCTGGAAGGCAGCCCTTGTGTCACCAGGGCCAGGCTCACCCAGCTGCCCCCGCCAGGCCCCATGGACGGGACCCCTTGCTTCTCCTCACTTTCTCCCCTGACCTCCTCTAGGCTCCTTTCCTCTGCCTTCCTGGAGCATGTGTGTGGCCCTTCCCAGGCCACCTGCCTTTCCTCACGTCATCTGTGCCTACAATCCTGTCTCTCATCCTGCTGCTCACTCCCTGTCTCCACCCCATCTCCAGCCCCAGCTCCACCCCATCTCCAGCCCCATCTCCACCCCATTTCCAGCCCCATCTCCACCCCATCTCCAGCCACATCTCCACCCCATCTCCAGCCCGTCTCCAGCCCGTCTCCACCCCGTCTCCAGCCC